AATGTTGGCTTAGTAAAATAACTCGAAAAAGAGAAGTACCACTTATTTACTAATAAATATTACGTGGGCACTTAATGGGCTGTTATTATTAATCTATAAAAATAGCAAAAGAATAATATTATGTAATACCTGTATAGATTAATGAATATAATTAAGATATTTTCATATTTCAGGCTATTAGTTTGGTAAGAATATTTAAATAAATTACTTTTTCAACAATAAAGTTTTGTTTATGAATTATTATACTACATTCGAATCACTGTATAGGTTTTTTAATAGAATACTTGTAAGAATTATTAATTCCATGAGAGAGCGTATAATGTATCAAAAATAAATTATTTTTGCTGTGGATCTTCTACTCGAATATTCCTGAAATGAGTCTTAAATCGTTCGTTATGACAATACCCGGTGATGTGTTGAGGTCAACTGTAAAATAACAGGTTAAATCTTAATCATAGGCTTTCCTTCGGTAGCCCGCGGGTGATTAATGCACATAGCTCATCAATGTATATTATCAATCAAATACTGAATTCCGTTAAAATTGAATAGCTGTAGACGTTACATTATTTATTGTAAATATTTTAAATGAAACAGATAGTAATAAGCTAGCAATTTTATACCAGATACTGTGGTACTACGTTTAAATAACTCGGTAATTTGAATTTAGTGGAGTAATAAAAAAAGAAAAGAGCGCCTATATATATTTATACGCATTCTCTATACCTACGGAACACTACGATAGAATTTTGTTTATTTAAAAATAAACAATTGCTTGTGGTTTATAGCTTAAATGTATGCTTATCACATAAATATGTATATGGGCACTTACATGTACAATTTACTCACCTCCAAGTTTTTCATTTTTTTTTTGCGTGTGTGGTTAGAAAGGAGTGTAAGTGTGGGAGATGTGCGTGGGATGCATTTAGGCAGTATGGATTTCGCGCATAACGAGTTCTATGCGGAAATGAATATAATATATTATTCAAACATTGTAACCAGTTAATTTCAATTTCGTTAATTATAAAAAAGAAACAGACCGAAAATTTTAACAAACGATAATATTTTAAGTAAGACTAATGTATACGAGTTTAAAACAATTTTAAAAACAATTAACTTAAAATTTTTTTTTTTTGAATTTATTACAATATTTAAAAACAAGGCCATACTAACATGATATTATTCTAACTTTCATTTTTATAATGAATGCGAGTTTTGATGACTTGATAAATACTCGTATATATATATTTCTCAAATGGAAAACAAATGTGAGTTATAGAACTAACTTAGCATAAATTAATTAATTATCGAAATGTAGATTGCAATAAAATTAAAACAATGAAGAAAATAATTTCAATACATTTTTTGTATTTAAACTTTAAACTAAATATCCTATACCTTTCAATTAATAAATGTTCTATATAAAATTGATATACCCCAATAAAGTACTTATTAATCAATAAAATTTCTATTATGTTCAAGTATGTCCTTGAATCTTGACTTCTCATACAGTACAGGATGATGATTGATTGATCAATCATAATACTATATAATTATAAAACTAAAATGTAAACTATGTATTCGTTTACATAAAATTCTGATTAATAATTGTGTGAATTATTTTGACTTTGATGTATAAATATGATAAAAGTTTATTAAATTACGATTCTTCAATTTGTCATTATATTTATGATAAGATATAACGTTATGTGTAACGATCAAAATAAAATTATTGTGATCACTGATTTTATATGTAAGACAGAATACAAAATATATGCTTATATTATATTATGTTATTTATATTTTTCGAGCACGGATTACGATTTACGACCATAAAGATTTAATTTAGATTTATAGAATGCATAATATCTATGCATCATATTAAATAAACGATGTATCTGTGATACGTAATGAAAATTTAAGAATTTAATCTTAAACTATTATATCACATCAATACATAAAATTATAAATAGTTAACAGATTTTAATAAAAATAATATTTTTGTATATATGTAATTAAAAATGTTTAAGTTTTATATATTTGTATGCGTTCTAAATAAATAAAAAAATATTAAATATCATTGTCAGTAATTTATCATTGAGAATGTTTGTATTATTATCAGCCAGCCTAATTATAATAATATATAGTTATAAAGTATCATTTTCGATTATAATTTAAAACATAATAATTGACGTTGGTAAAGATTCAATTTATTAAATACTTAGGCATGTATTCTAATATAATAGTGAAACATAAATGATTATTTTAATTTAACGATTGGAGCATGATTCATTGATTGGTCATAAAATATAAAATTTATACAGAAATATGTTATTCATAATAATCATTATCTTTAACAGTACTTATGTAAAAGTGTATTTTATTTTTATTTTACTTTATATATTTCTTAGGTATAAATTAGGAATGTGCTCATTTTAATGTATAATATTTTAGATATTTTAAAATTAAATACTAAAAATATTAAAACTAAAAATATTTTTTACGTTATAAAAAACATTAAGCATTTTTAATTTTTGAATTGATGAAAAGTAAACCTTACCACGATCCCAAAAAATTATTTTTGTTTTTAGATTGTGAGCCTACAGCTATATTAATTTTACAGTGTTTTTGTGTCAGTTATTATTACGTTTAAGTAAGAATATTTAAGTCAATTTTTAACTTTGAGAATGGTTCTTAGTAAAATTGATATGATACTGTTACAATAGAGCCATGATTCATAACTGGTGTGTCGCGATATACTAGTGTGTCTCCAAGTAAGACAAAATGTGTTGCGTGAAGTATTAATATTAAATAACACAACATTTTTAAAAAAATTAATGAGCAAAAAAAAAATCTTTTTTGTGGTCACCTTGGTTAGTAGGCCGGTATCCTCCCAGTCTAGGCCTAAGTATGTAACAATTTTAGGGTGTCATCGTACAAAAAAGATTTAGAACCACTGATATACATAAAGTAATAAAAAATACGAAAAATCTTGGTATTTTTCATAATGATTGGGTTAGACGAACGAAAAAAAAAATAAAAAATACACAATATCTATTTTTTAAGCTTTTTTTCAATTAATGTTAATTAATGTAAAAATTGTATTAATAATAAACATTAAAAAATATCACTATATAAAACAGAAATAAGGAAATCACTATGGTGTTACAAACTTGTAACTTATTTCATCATAAAATAAATAGGCGTGCTTATAAAATAATGTGTTTATGTATTTCTGAAATTTTTAAATATGAACTAATACTATTTACTATATTAACTACGTACTAAGCAAAACCTTATTTTACAATTTAAAGCTTTTTGATTTAGAAAAAAAAAAAATAAAAGTATTTTAATATTTAATATTCTTATGAATAGTTTAAAATGTTTAAAATTAAAAATTGTACACAATTTTTTATTATTTTAGTGGAGTGTTTCAAGTTTTGATTGATATTTTTTAAATGAAAAATATTATAAAATTGTTTAAAGAATAAAGAATAATCCGTATTTTCCGTTTAAATTTATAAATCAGACAAGTAAAAAATAAACACAAACAAATCGTTGTAAATCCAATGTCACTCGTTTCAGAATCTATTCAATGAGAACATTAATTTAGGTAATTTAAAAATAGATGATTTTATTCATTCACTACAGTCTTAAAATTAGATAATACCTATTTATAAGTGGGTAATATGATATTTTAATTTCTTAAAAAAAGATATATATATATATTTTAATCCTTTTAAAATATACCGGAATTGGAGAAAAATTTAGAAGGTGTTTTTTTTGCACGGAATAAGCGCGTACATGGATTAAACCGTTAGTTTATGTAAATACATTTGATTACGTAGGTCTATTTGATACGGGGCCCCTATAGTATTGTGTTTTATATGATCAAATAATTTTAAAGTATTATTTATACACTTTATACTTTTATCAAAACAAAGGGGTAAGTTAAGCAGGTTTTCGCAAAGGATAACTGTCTGTAGCCTGTAAAAGTACGAGGAAGACGTCGTACTCATGTCGAACCGAAATTCGCTCGTATTATATTTTTGGGTAAAAACTTGGGTACGAGTTTTTTTCCCATCTGATTACCGTTCACCCGTCTAACGAATTTTATTTTTTGTTTTTTTTTATTTATTTTTTACAGCTGCCCGTATTACAATGGTAAACGTCACCGGGAGTACACGCACATCAATGTAAATTATCATACAATTGAAGTACCTGTGTATGTTTTAATGGACGTATTACCGACAAAACGTCGAATAACATTATCGATTCTGCGGCCAAGTCTTCGAGCCGAACAATTAATAATCAACCAAGGCCGTTATAGCTCATATCTCATGAAATGTTACACACGCACACGCACACACACACACGCTCACAGACGGACGGTTTAGACAAGTAGCGAGTGAGTCAAATTTTATTATCTAAATCGATATTTCAATATACCGCAGGGGTATCTCTACCTGTACAATATAAATATTACCACGTTATATACACGACGTACACGGAATCCGAGTGAGGAACACCATCGGAGAATGCACTCACTCGAGATTTTCGGCAGTCGAACACGCGTACAAAATTATTATATTTGGGTTAAGCGGAATATACATATATCATTATATTTACTCGTGTACACGCGCGAGCACACGCACACACACACACACACACACATGCACACACACACACGTACACACACAAACACACACGCACACACACACACACGCACACACACACACCTACACACACGCGCACACACACACACACACGCACACACACGCACACACACGCACACACACACACGCACACACGCACACACACCTACACACACACACAAATCTGTACATGATAATAATATAATATCGTGTGTTTTGTGGAGTGGGTATGGCCTGAATATCACTACCGTACCGCCAGCGTGTATAATACATACCGACCGGCGTCGTGTGTGTGTGTGTGTGTAGACGGCCGAGACGGACTGGTTATGGCCGAGAGCGCGTGAGTGTGTGCAGTGTGCACTGTGCATCGCAGTCGCTGTAGTAGTGGTGTGTAGTCGTCGCTGCCAACCGGCCGAGTGCGTCCCAAAACACGACACGACGCCGCCGCCGTCCGTCGTTTCTTTATTCACGCGATACGAGTTCGCGCGCGTATAAAACAATACATTATGGGCACCGAGTGCGACCGGCTTCAACGCTGAGACGCGGGGCAATAATATATTATAATATAATATTACGGACGTCCGTTTTTGTTTGACCGTCATCGGGACACTCTCTCCGCAGAGATATCGGTCCGGGTTGGTTATAGCCGCGTCGCGACCGGGCAATAATCACACGCCGTTATCGCTCGCTCGCTCGCCCGCCCGCCGCCCACGACGGCACCCGGCCGACGACGCTGTCATGACTCATGGTGTTGCCAGCAAACGTCCGGACGAAACATGGACACTGCTTCCGACATAAGTCAGGTGAGACGATAAGATTTGTACATGACTCATTTGATATTGTTTTGAGCAATGAAACAGCGTCCGGACGCGACGTCGCATTCCGCAGACGACCGCGACTGATAACGCGCGTTGCACCTGTGCCACCTGTTGTACGGTCCGTGTACGTCGTGTCGACGCGCAGGACCACAACGACGATACGACAATAACGTTTTTGTACGGTGATAACAACTCCGGTTCGGTTTTAGTACCTACTTATCAATGGACATTGGACATAACGTCATTCGGGGAGGTGTACGAAAAACACGCATTTCCCAGACCTTGTATATTTATTGTAGTAGTCTTATTCGCGTGCAGTTCGTTACTCGGACGATGCGCCGTGCACCGTTCGTCGTGTTAAAAAAATAAAAATAAATAATATTATGTGTTATCAGCACGTTACCGGAGGATCGGAAAAAGAAAGATACGTTTGTATAGTAACGATTCGAACAATCGATATTGTAATAGTATTATAGACATTATAGTGTACGTATTAAATTACGAACGTGCTGGTATTTTTCCTCACATCGGACAGACGACAAACGGAAACGGTAATACAATATTATTTAAATTTTACCGACGGGTGTGATAACGCGATTGAACGTTACGACTTCGGTCGATTCGAATATTATTATCGTTCTAGTCGATTCCGGTTTGTTCGTCGAGTTTGGGAAGCGACGACGGTTATTCCCTGGTATGTTGTTCGGTTTCATATCGCGTATTTATATATTAGAATCATGTACATTCCAGACCGCCGTCGCCACCACCGCCGGAGGAAACGACGGTACAGGTTTTACGCGATTCTCTTTTGCCCAGCCCGACCGTCCACCCGCACACGTCCGTGTTGTTGTGCCTACGCCATCGGACTCAAAATGGTGTGTAGTTTCTCTCGGTCGTAAATGTAATTATGTTTGGATCTTTCGATTCTTATGGAATTTTAACCGAAGAAATTCAGCAATTTTCCGATTTTCGAACACTACAAGACAACAGCTCAATCGACGAATTTGATAACGGTGATAACGTGATACAAACTTCGCCACGATCGCAGAGCAATGACTGCGGAAGGTGTTTAGAAGAAAGTGAGCACCGATTGAATTTATTAGGTCATGTGCGCCCAACGTAATTTCTACTCTTCTTATTTCGCGTCGGGACTTTAATAATAGTAATAATATATTTCATTGTGTAGGTAGGAACCTACTCTTAATCTTACGAAAATCTCACGCAACGACGAGAATAATAGTTATTAGCACTTTATATTAAATACATACCTACTATTTTATTTGTAAGTATTTTAGTAGTTCAGCCCGTATTTTAGTAGTTCAGCCCGTATCCCGTTGAAATGTCACTAACGAATTTGTTTGTAGCGTTTCGTCTTAAAGTAACACTTAAATAATAATATTATAGGAACCAGTCGAGTGATACCAAATCAATTTGTTAACACGAAATTATAAAAACCCACACGTTTTAATTTAATATGGATCGTCATTAATTTTATAGCTTAAAAAGTCGAGTTGGATTACCATACATATAATACGTATTATTATTATTCATACAACTATCTACATTGTATAGAAAAAATGTAATTGAAATTGATTGAAATCTTTATCAGATATTTTATTCACATCGAAATGAATTAAAAATACACTTGATCTTGACTATATTGTTAAACTGGCTTATATTCATTTACACTAATTTCAACTAATAATAAACTTTTGATTTAAATGCAATTTAGTTGTATATACTTTTATTTTTACATATTTTATTATATATATACAGTTTTAAACATATTTAACGTTCAATGAATAGAATATTAAAACCGGATGTAAACTGAGTTAGGTGAGGATTTTTTTATTGTTGACCGTGGGGACTATTGTATTATTAAATAGTAAGTTAATTGTAAAGTATTTAAAATCTCTGATGTATTAATGAACAATACCTAGCCTAACCTAATGCTGTAATAGTTGTATTATAAAGCTTACAGAACACATATAGGATATTGCAGTGTTATATAGGTATTCCACGACGAGTACCAATAAAACGTATTTTGTACCTGTGTTTATATCGGTTCATGTTATGTTATACGTATTAACTATTAATGTTTTTACTTCAGAGTTTACGTGCGTTGTGCGTAGTAATATGTGCCGTGGTTACTGTACTAACATAATATAGATATATATTAGAATGATATGTTAGATAGATATATATATGAATAATTCGATTTTAAATTGTCCTTAGTGAATTTTACAATTATTAAAAAATTGTTTCAATTAAATGTAGGTACTGTTTACAAAACAAGGTTCCTTATAATAATGTATAACTATGGCTGTTGATAATATCGGTGCGCTGCAATTGTAAGCCAATTACTTGGTAATCCTTTAAACTTCCATCTATCTGAGTTTAAGCTACACATAATATACACCATTGCCTTAGTTAAGTTTGAGTCTGTGCCTACCAATTAAACTACGTACATATTATACTATATAACAGACATATTTACTATAACTCTTCCAAAAACGGTTAACTACTCGATTTAATTTAGTTCTATACTATCGTTCAGACTTTAGGTGATATATGAGTGTATTATATATTTTGTAAATTCCAATTAGGGTTATCTGAATGTATTATTGTATTTAGAAACTGATTTTGGCATCATTCGTAATTATTTATGTTAAGTACATGGTTATGCATTTTCGTTATGTATACCAATTACCTTTTACAATTTTTATTTATTTTTTATGTTTTAATTTTATGGATCTTAATCGCTTAAATAATTAATTTCCCTTGAGGATTTCGTAAATATTTTTTTTTTCACTTTATTGCAAATACAAATTAATATAAAAAACGTTATATATATATTTTTTTTTTAGTAAAACTAATTTAATTTTAACCATGATCAACTATATGACGTGAATCTATAAGTATTTTTTCTCTGTATACATTAAATAGTTTTATTTAAATGATTGAATGTTTGTTTTGCAAAACTTTACCTATTTAACTTTAAAGAATGACTAATTTCAACTCGACTGTAACTGTTGTTCGTAAGAAAAATAAATATCCACGATAGATAATTAAATATATATATATATATATATATATATATCTAATAGATACATTATATATTATAAATATCACTTATGAGTAAATTATTGAATTGTATATTTCTATGCAAATTAGTTGTAAATAAGTACTTATTACTCATTGTGTCGAAATCGTTATTAGTCTATCGGACAAATGATAAATGATAATAAACCTTCAGTCTAGTTAATTACTCAATATCTATGAATGAGTAGGTATTACACTTACAAGTGTTTATTATATTTAAATCAAGTTGCATTGTTCAAAAATACTACCATAAATCGGAATTACTCATAAATAATTATAAACAAACTGCAATAATTATTGTCAGCTGTTACTTATAAGTTATTACTTATAGATGCATATACTATTATATTAATGAAGTACCTACTTATAAAACTATATTTTATATTTTATATTTAATAAATAACAAGTTTATCTCATTTTGTCATAATTAAAAGACAAACTTATATGTATATCATAAGAAAATAACAAAAACCCAATGTTCAATACTTTTTTTTTTAATTTTGCGATTTTATCATTAATTGTATTGAGGCGCTAAAACAGCTTGTCTAACAATCAATACATTATTTTTTAGATAAATCCAATAATAATTTTTAGACATATTTGAGATTTTTCTATTATTAATAATTATTGTTATGAAATAATAGTATGCAGCTATAATATCATTTAATTATGTTGTATTTTTTTTAAAGTTTAGTTAGCTTTTAGCTAATTTTTTTTCACTAATTTTAGTTCATCCACTATGATTATTTTAAAATAGTAAATTCATTAATAATACATAACAACCAATAAGGCCTTATTCAATGTCATAGACTTACTACTTAGGCTACTTTAGTTCTGAAATAAATTATTAATTTTCAATACAAAAAATATTAAATTCTGCCATTTAGCCAGTAGTGTAGCCAGGATTTTTGTTCGAATGAGGGGGGGGGGCTGATCAATTTTTTACATAGCTGTGGTTTACTTAGGTTCATCCATAATTTAAACATGCAGATGCTGAAGTTTTATTTTAGATTTTTGTTCCTATAATCCTTAACATATATTGATTTAATATACTTATATACTTTAAATACTTTGGATATTTTATTTTAATAGTAATATACAATCATTTTTAAATTTTCTTAAAATTTCGTGGTGAGGGGGCTACAACCCCCTCAGCCGTTCCCCTGGCTACGCCACTGCATTTAGCTGATACTTTTTTTTAGAGTTGGGTCAGTCTGGTTATGTAAAATTGCATTACTCCAAAGCATTTAATACAGTAAAATGTATTTTTATTTTTTTGTGTTAAGCTGTTTTAATACAATATGTACGGTCCATCTCAATTTGTCAGGGATTTTTAATTTTAATTAAATTAAATGATTGTGTTATTGGTACCATGTTTTATGGTTATTATATCTTGTGTATTTGACAATAAATTGTATATTAATGATATAACAATTATTGAAATATTAAAAGAATTTAAAATTTTATAGTCAATATTAATTTAGATATTATTATTATTATTATTGTGTTAAAAGTATGCGAGTATACAAAGTAGGCTACAGTAAAAGCTTTGATAAAGGTACTGACTTTTCTAGGGAAATTTTCAATTGTAGTTATATTTACCTACTTAAAAAATGGCGTAATTAACTATTTTGAGATTTGTTTTAACTCTTGTAAGATTAAATTAAAATTGTTTACTATTAATTTAACAGTATAAGTCAATATGTTTATGAACATAATATTGTACTGTACTATTTTGTATTGGCTCCACATTGTTAAAATATAGAAATTCGATTTCATACTTAGCTACGTATAGTATAAAATATATATATTTATATATTAGCTTATATATTTTAATGTGACTATTTGTATAATGTTTTATGCTATTTTTATGATGTAATTAA